GCCTTCATTATTGATAGGAAAAATATTGACAAGGCCAAAACATTGATTAAGTTTTCAACCAAAAGGGGAGGATGGAGAGCTGAAGACAATAAACAAGTATCACCACCGAGCGATATATACAAAATTAAGGTTAATGAGTTATCAGAAATTCCGACTTACAATAATGTAAAAATTCGTGTTAAAGACGAATACGACACCAAAAGCATTTGTGAGCAAATTGTGTCGTGTAATCCGGTGTTGATAAAAGCAAAACTGGCTGGAAGCGGCAAGAGTTATATAGGCGAATATATGAAAAATCTAGGTTATAATGTGTTATTCGTATGTTCTAATAACAAGCAGAAGCAAGAAACCGAAGCCGACGCCGTAACATTAAACAAGTTTTTCAGTATTCCAATAGAAGCTGGAGAAAGACTACCGACATTTGACCATTCTGATTATAATTGTATTGTGTTTGATGAGCTAGGTATGGCGGGCAATTATATTTTGAACAGAGTTAGGGAGTTTAAGGATACGTACCCAGAGAAGATAATTATAGGAACTGCTGACGGGAAGCAGTTGAAACCTATAGCTGATTTAACTAACACCCAGGACCACGAGACATATTTAAACAACTGTCTTAATCAAATATTTAAATATAAGATTTATCTTAAGATATCTAAGAGACTTAAGACAGAAGAAGATAAAATTAAATTGAATGATATATATAATGACATTTGGAAAAATAAACTGCCCATTAAGGAAATAGTAAATAAACATTTTGAAACTACAAGCGACATCATGGAAGGAGAGCATAACATAGCCTATACTAATGCTAGGTGCAAATGGGTGAGCAAAACCGTAAGAAATAATTTAGGAAAGACAGATAAATATGAAATTGGAGAGCATGTGATATGCAGAGTTTATAAAAAAGAAATGGGGCAGGTGTTTAATGTAAATATTACTTATGAAATTATTAGTATTGATGATTGGAAAGTAGAAATCCAAGATATCAAAAGTAAAACTATATTCATGACAAACACCACGACTTTAGACAAGCACTTTATACATGCGTATTGTGCTACATGTCATTCGTCTCAAGGGGCTTCTCTAGATAAAAGCATTACTATACACGAATGGGATAAATCACATTTGGTCAGCCGTGAGTGGATTTGGACAGCCCTCACGAGATGCAGAGATATCAATAAAGTCAAGTTTTTCAAAGCAGACGTAGATGATACTGATTTAAATGAAGCACAAGTAGCCAGATATTTAGAACATAAGATTAAACAATATAAATTACAAGACATAAAAGCAGAGAGAGAATAGACAACAAACAATATATTGATGTCAAATGGTTATTTGACAGGCTTAATACCAGATGTAATAAATGCAGTTCAGATTTTGACATAGAAATAAATAATGGAGTAATAAATAGCAATATGACAGCCCAAAGAATAAACAACGATTATGCCCATCATAAGGAAAACTGTATATCTTACTGTTTAAACTGTAATCGCCGGGAAAAATAATATCTATCTTATTTTATATGGCATCTAAGCAAGATATTATTAATAATGTTTATTATGATAAGGGAGGCTTCGGGTCAAAGAACCGCACTTTACAAGAAGCAAGAAAAAAAGATAAATCAATTACTATTAATGATATCAATGAGTTTTTTAGGAAGAATGTAGAACAGAAAGCCAAGCCAAGAGGACAGAATTCATTTGTAGCTCCTAACGCATATTATGAGTTTCAAATTGATTTATTTTTCATTAATGATATCCCTAAACAAAAAATGAAAGTTGGCATGATGTGTATTGACATATTTTCTAAGTATATGGTTGTTGTCCCGCTTATGTCAAAACAGCCAGCGGACATTTTAGCAGGACTGATGGAATGTATTAAAAAAATGGGTGGAAAGCCCAAACTAATTTATATTGACGACGAAGGAGCTTATAATAATCAAAGTGTTATAGATTTCTTGAAGGATGAAAAAATAGAGTTGCACAGAACCAGAGGACACCCAGCATTTGCGGAGAGGGCGATAAGGACGTTTAAAGATAGCTTGTATAAGAGGGTTGAAAACGATGAGAAAAAAGGAAAGGCTATTCAATGGACAGACTACATACACGAGATTATATTAACTTATAACAATGGAATAAAGCACACTTCGCACGGCTTAACACCGTCAGAAGCAAGAAAGCCTAAACATCAATTAGAAGTGAGTTTAAATTTAGGTATGAAAGCCAAAGAAATAGAGTTTATCCAGATTTAAATGTAGGAAATGAAGTTAAGATATTCAGGAAAAGGAGACCGAATGAAAAGGAGAGAGTAGGAGTATGGACTAAACAAACATACAAAATAGCAAAGATTGCAAAGAAGTTAGGACAGGAATATTATTATATTGAAAATTATGACAGGGCATTTTTGAGACATGAGTTATTAAAGGTATAAATTTATTTCTTGGAAAAAAGTATTTAAAGAAATAAAAACTATATATATTATAATAGAAATGGTTGAATTTACAGAGAAAGAGCAAGAAGAGATTATTAATAAATTCTTGGATGACTTAAACAAAAATGAAACAGAAAAGATTCTCAAACACGAACTATCCAAACATAATTACAATTCATCACTATTACTTTATTTGAAGTTGCCATTCAATGCCATTAGGTTAATCAAAGAATATGGAGAACGTAAATGCAAATGCGATAACTGCATTCATTTGAACCAGACAATTGACCACGCGAATAGATATTTTAGTGATGTCTCTACAGTATACTATTTTAATGAGTTATATAAATTCCCAAAGGAAGAAGAATTAAAGCTACAGTTTAATTTGGCACCAAGCAGGTTTAAGAAATACAGATCTGGATTTAACAGTCGTTTACATGACCCTACGCGTTTAAAACATTTTGTACCATCAAGTAAACTGAAAGAATTTAATGACATACTAAAATACATTCATGAACATAATTTTACCAAATATGAACATATCAAATTAAATTATTATCCTGAAATTAACCTATAACCATACTATAATAATAACATGTAAAATATTATATGTTATAATTATATTTCAATATTTAATTTTATTTCTTGTAAAAAAATATTTAAATAAATAAACACTATATATATTATAATAGCAATGGTGGAAACCGAAATCAATAATTATATCAATAAGAAATGCTACGACTGTTGCCACTTCAAAAAGGAAAATATGGAATTATATAAATTGAATTTACCTAATGGAATAGTTAATAATATTATTGATTATTCTTTGGACGAAGAAAATATATGTAGAACTTGTAGAAGATGGAGACGATATCAAAATATAATAGAAAATTGTTTGGCGTTTAAAAATATAGATGAAAGAAATGTTGAAGATGAAATATTGATATTTTTAACTGTGTATGAAAGACCACCTTACGATTATGTTAAACAGTTTCTTAAAATCAGTAAGAAAAAGTGTGAAATGATTAATGACATATTATGGATGTTGATTTATTATAGTAAACCCGGCGTTGATGTAAAAAAAGTCATAAAATCATATATTGAAAGTGAAAAATTTAATGTTAAAAATACAGTGAGAGATATTAATATTATTTTTAAAATGATGTATGAAAGAAGTAAAACATATCAATTAAATAGTTATCCTGAACTGAAATTATAATCATAATATAATAATAACATGTAAAATATTATATGTTATAATTATATTTCAATATGTAATTTTATTTCTTGTAAAAAAGTATTTAAAGAAATAAACACTATATATATTTACAGTGGAAATGTTATTTAATTATTCAAAGTGCGAATGTTGTACAACTAAAAGGAATGATGTTAATATAACATTGTATAAGTTATTACCCGCCAATCTATGTAATAAAATAAGTGAATATGATGTATATTGTAATCAATGCTGTAAAACAAGAGACCTTGAAAAGTTGTTTGTTGAAGAACATAAGGATGTGGGATATACAAAGTTTCAATTACAATTGACATTCTTTATGAGATATCAAAAACGATGTCCTGTATGTTTTTACCATACAATTGCAAGAAAGTCATTTGAAAAAGAAATTGATGAGTTCTTCAATAATAAAGATTTGATTAAAAGGTTTGGAGGGACAAGCGCAATTAAACCATATAAAGCATTTGTTAAAAAATTTCGAGGCATGTTTGATGCGATTGATTGGCATTTATTAAGTAAAGATAAAATAAACAAGGTCTTGAATGAATTTAGAATAACTAAATATCATGTATGGTCTTACTACAACACTAAATATCAAGTATGGCTACTAGTTAATTTGTTTTTCTGGGAATATATTTATTCAATAATAGGAAAAGACAATATCAAATATATAGACATTGGCGATATTGATAAATATGTAGATTACATATTTGAAGACATTTTTCCTGACTATAAATGTAACCCATAATTATTAATCATACTATAATAATAACATTTATACCCTTACATGTTATAATTATAATGTAAGTATAGCGTTTTATATATTGAAGATAAAATCCTACAAGGCGGGCCACGCCCCAAAAAAATATATGATGAAAGTGATGAAACGAAGGAGGGGAGTGATGTTGTTGCTGTTCTATTTTTTGTCCGGGAAATGGACAAATCGTTTTTAGACAGTTCGATTTTTTTTTTGATGACAAATATTTTTTGCAATATATTTTGCAAAATTTATTTTTTTGAAATGGATGAGGCGAGGAGATTGAGGAAATGACATTTTGGAGGGTAGTTGGTGAAATGAATGAGGCGAGGAGGAAGGAGAAAAGGATGGCGAAAATTTTGGAAAAATGATGATAAAAAAACGGATGAGATGGACAGAAAGGAATGTAGAAAAATGATGAAAACAAATAAGGGTAGAAGATGGAAGATGAAAAAAAATGTAGGGTGGGGGGTATGTATGAAGCAATTTATTTGCGGGGCAAGGCCCCCGACTACTCATTTTGGGCGTCCGCAAAAGACCCACCCAAGTGCCGCCGGATGCTGGGCCCGGGACAATCTTGCCCTCCCCCACCAGGTACTTGTGCAAGTCTGCAGTGGTGCCGTTGATCTCCACCTCGCTCGACACCTCCCCCTCCCCGCCTCGGACAAGCCAGCAGCGGCAAGAACCGGCCCAGTGAGCCACAGACAAACACTCATTGTGTCGTTGTGTTCAGTGACGATGAGGATCTGTGGATCCATGCTGGAATGTGCATCATTTTGGCGTGTGTGCCCCATGTCGTCAAGGCACTGATGTTGGGATACTGGTATATCCGCACATTGCCGGCGAAGAGCTTCCCAAATGCCTGGCTCAACGGCGCTTCTCGCTTCTGCCCCAAGACCCAATCTTGGATTGCTTCAGCCTCCAACATGCCGCCGTTGTAGTCGTCGTAGATCTTCGAGTTGAAGATCCCACGAGCAATGTCGTAGTTGCCTCCGCCCACCTGGCTTTGGCGAAACCGCCAGCGCAAGCCAGACTTTGCTTGGAAAACTGGGTCCGCAGCCGCCAGGACGATCGGCGCGTTGGTGTATCTCGCCAAATACGCCGAGAGCTCGGCGTCCGACCTGTTCGACAGGACCCTGAGGCTTGCCCCCCCCCAATGTCCCCAGCCGCTCCACCCTAAAAGGTGTCTGGAGGCCAACATAAACCCTAAACGTGTCGGTGGGGCCAACATAAACCCTAAAGCGTGTTGGTGGGGCCAGCATAAACCTTGCATAAACCCGAAAACAGTGTTGATCAGGTTGGGGGTCGGGTTGGTTGGCTGCAAGCATCACGGCCTCGCTCGGACTAGGGCTGCCTATTGGCTTTGATTTGGTGTTGCTCGGGGCTGGTGACGCTGGGGATGCAGCCGGTTAAGCCCGAGCAACTCTGGCCAATACGCAGCCCTGACACCAAGTGACCGGGGATGCTGGGGATGCGGCCGCCCAGCCAACCAGCCAGCCAGCCAACCAACCAACCAACCAACCAACCAACAACAAAAAAACACACACAAAAAACAACTAAAAGGTGCCTCGGGGCCCATATACGCGTTTGTGGGGCCCAACATACATCCTAAAACGTGTTGGTGAGGCCAGGCCCAACAGAAAGCCTAAAAGGTGTTGGGGCGGGGTTGGCGCCAAGCTGTTAAAATGCTCATTTCCCAGAGCCATGGAAAGGATTAAGCCGGACATTCACACCAATGGCTTGGATCCCAGAAAACCTTCACTCCCCCGAAGCGGTGATGCCGCACTGGACTCTGGGGATCTGGCCCGACACCGGACACCAGCACCGGCAGCTTCAGGGACTCCAGCATCCTGCGAACCGAGGATGTCGAAGAACGCGAGCGCTGCGATGGAAGCGACTGAGCAATGTCTGAGCAGTGGTAGACATGTACATGGAACTTTTCCATGATGGCCTGACATTTGAGCAATATGTTCAATAGTGACCGGAGATGAATCGAGGTCAGCTTGATCGAGATTTGGGTCACGCGCGAAAAGAGGTCCTGAAGCGGTCGAGGAACTCCGCGTTGTTCACCGATTTGTCCCTGGCACCCCAAGCCCCCCCCCCTATTCTTGGTTCGAGTCGAAGACTGCGGCAGCTGCACGTCCAACCGAGCACTTGGTCCACCATCACTTTGCCCTTGTTGTCCAAATCCACGTCCTACAGGAAGCTGGTTGGCCCCCTTTACCGGGTCAACCCTGACGTGAACCTACCTTTATGTCGCTTTGCATCGCGAAGGACTTCGCAAAAAATACAAGAAGCGATGGAAATAAGTTGAAGCACTTTGAAGGAAAATTCGCAAGCACTTTGAAGTGTTGCAAGCGAGTCAAATAAGCTGAAGCACTTTGAAGGACAATTAAATGTTGCTGAAAAAGAAGCGATTGAAATAAGTTGAAGCACTTTGAAGGACAATTCGCAGGCACGTTGAAGTGCTTTGAAGTGTTGCCAAAAAAGAAGGCATTGAACAAGCAAACAAATCGATTGAACAAGAAGCGAAGGAAAACACGTTGAAGGGAAACACGTTGACCGCTTTGAAGGAAACTCGCCCGCCAGCCGGCTGGAAGCGTCGGTCTCCCCGTCCTTTGCCAACTGCTTCGCTTCATCGGCCGGAAGCCTCGATGCGGCGATGCGGCGTGCCCCAAGAGGTATCTTCGACAGCCCACCTCGAAGCTCTAGGGCTTCCTTTTCCATTCGTTCCAGGGATCCGAATCTTTTCAGGAAACCATCTAAAAAACCCGGGGAAACCGCTGGTTCTTGAAAAGAACAACGGTTGAAAAAAATTGGGAATCAACCCCTAGAAAAGCTGGTGCTCAGTAGGGGGTGACCTTCCGGGTGTTGGGAATGAACTTGGGGGTTCCCAAGGAAACCCACAAAAAATAATTAGTTTATAGTGGAACGGTCATTCCAACTCATTCTTTGCTGAGAACCAGCAAGTCTCAACGGCACAGGTAGTGCTCGTCTCGCAACCTACAGGTCCGCAATACTTTGAGTGCACCATGGCGCTGAGCTATGAGGTTGTCTCATGATAGGAGCAACCCCTGGTTCCTTTGTACAACCAACCAAAAAATAGTTGTTATTATTATTATTATTATTATTATTATTATTATTATTATTATTATTATTATTATTATTATTATTATTATTATTATTATTATTATTATTATTATTACTATTACTATTATTATTACTATTACTATTATTATTATTATCATTATTATTATTATTATTATTATTATTATTATTATTATTATTATTATTATTATTATTATTATTATTATTATTATCATTATTATTATTATTATTGGAAAAAGAGAAAGAAAAAAGAACATCGTCGACCTCGCTGTCTGAGCGCAGCACTTCTGCGCGAAAACTTTTTCAAGGCCGGCCTGAGGCGGACCGTCCGTAGTCAGCCCTATCCCCGAGTGGAAATCAGTTCTGGATTTACGCAGCAAGAAAAATAAACTGGGCCCCCGTTCATGGATGTGGACTCCCTCCTTATACATCAACCAACTGAGCTCTCTCCACAGACCTTTCAAATCCGAATCTTGCCCGCAGGGTCACTGATCTGCTTGGTCCAAGCGTCAGCCAGACACAAGCAGGAACAATCTTTACATGTGTTCATAATGAGCTTTACAGGTCGTGCATGGTGCAAGCGTTTTCACGCGCGTGCGCGCTTTCACGCGCAGGCGCACCAATTCTGCAATGGGCCCTGCCGCGTAGCATTGGACTCACGCAGGAGCCATGTGTTTGTGACGCCATCTTGTCCCCACGGGAAACTGTACACGATGGGGAGTGCCGGGAGAGATTAGTCTGTGCAAATGCTGTACAATTGCGTGCTGACTTCAGCTGCGACCAAAACCCATTGACGTTGCTTCTAACATGGCCAGTAAGGCTTTTGGGACTACTACAATCCCTATCAAAAACCAGGCAGAACTACCGAACGGCCAATGGGGGCTTGGGCGCTGACTTTAAACTTTGGATCTGCCCTGAGCAAAGGTGAGGGGCGAGCACTGCACGGCTCTTCTTCTGTCAAGAGCTGGCTGTGCCGCCCGAGCTCATGCCACCAGCACGACCGCAGTGGTTTTGGAGCGTCGCGCCTTTCGAGACATAACCATCTCCTTGGCTCACTTTGGCACCACAAAGTTCACAACATACTCATTGCTTTGTGAGCCTAGCCTGAAATACCCTGAAACACCCTGAAATCCCTGGAATGACCCGGCCAAGCAGCCACCCAACAAGACAGAATCTAAATCATTAGCAAAAAAAACAACTGCCCCAAAGATTGCACATTCTGCACTGCATCCTCCTCATCCTCTTCAATGTCCAAAAAGGTGTTGCGCACAATCAACCTGGGCTCCTGCTTGACTTCCGGCTTGGGAACTGCCGACTTCTTCGGCAAGAACTTGGGCTCCACGTCTTCATGCATGCCGGGCGCGCTGGATCCCCCGTTGGCGCGGCGGTAGGCGGTCTTCTGCAAGGGGTAGAGAGTCAAGAACTTTTCACGGACTCTGTCCCACTCCTGCCATGTAGACAATTGCTCCACTGGTTGGAAAGGGAGCCAAAAGCCATTCAGCAACATGTGTGTGTGTGCGATCATGTGTTTCTGTTTCTGTGTTTCTGTTTGTGTTTCTGCATTTCTGCATTTCTGCATTTCTGTGTTTCTGTGTTTCTGTGTTTCTGTGTTTCTGTGTTTCTGTGTTTCTGTGTTTCTGTGTTTCTGTGTTTCTGCGGTCGTGTGTTCGTGTGTTGGTGTGTTGGTGTGTTGGTGACGGCATGTTTGTGCTTGTGTGCTTGTGTGTTTGCGTATTTGCTTGTTTCTTTGCACGTTTGCTCGTTTGAAGGTACCCTATTCTAGGGCCTGCTTTAAAGGCAAAACCAAAAGGACTGCCACCATTCCGGGGTGCCCTCTTTCCGACACCCCTGGAGAATTAGGCCGCACAAGCCCCCCCTTTCTTTTTCTTTTTCTTCTTCTTCTTCTTCTTCTTCTTCTTCTTCGTCATCCCCCGCCCCCGAAACCCCCCCCACCCAAATCCCCCCCCCCCAGGGCCACACCTGCCGGACGACCACGCACTGGTAGGGCACCAGCTCAGAGCCGTCGAGGCTTCGAAAGGTTCGGAGCTCCTCGCCCGCGGAGGCGAGGAAGCGCTGGACGTAGTGCGCCAGCTGAAACTTCTCCTTGGCTGACACGACCCAAGCGCCGAAACCTCCGTTCATTCAGGAAACACATTCATTGAGATGGTTCTTCTTGTTCAACAAACTTGGTGGCTGTAATGACCCCTCTGCAGAGAGTGTAAAAAAAACAACAATGTGGGTTTAATTCGGACAACCCGAGGGAACTCCAGAAAAAGGTTGAAGTCAAAAGATCCGTCACCCAATAGCAATCAAGTTTCGCTGCCGAAGTCGCCTGAGCGGATTTCAAACGGCTCAGTTCAGGTCACTCCATGGAAAATGCCGGATGCCGGGAGCCAGAGGCAAACCTGAGGACACTTCCCTGCAATCCAACAGTTCGTGTAGGGATTTGGTCGCTGGCACCTCACCATCTTTACCGGGCCGGGTGGCCAGCCTCAGCAAAAAGCCTCCCCTCTCCCACATCCCGTCCATCCCGACCTCATCGAAGCATCTGCCCTGTCTTTCTTAAGTCAGCGAACAGATATTTCAAAAACAAAAATGCCTTCCGCACCCAGACGTGGAGGCCCCAAAACCTGTGTTCTCCACTGCCCCGCCTGGCTCAAAACGCGCCCAATGCCGAAAGCCCACCCGCTCCCCCGCGTCGATCTCCACCGTGGCCGGGTGCTCGGACGGCACTAGGGGCATGCCGCGCTTGAAGCTCTGCATGGACAGCACCTCGGCTAGGCCCGTCTGGGCCTCAACGTAGCGGCGAAAAAGCCGCAAAGATTGCTGTTGACCCCCCTGCAAAAAGTTTAGCTTTTTGGGGGGTTTGGTGGAAACCACCTTTATTTCCAAAAAAAAGTCTAAAGATCCAACCAAATACAGTAGCAGTCAAGAGAGGGATGGAATCAAATCGACGAACGCATGGGCCAAAGTGGCGCAGAGCTTGAGGATAGCTTGGAACAGAAAGCCAAGCCACAAGCGGAGCGCCTGCAACCGATTTTACGCCTCCGGCTTGGCGCATTTCTACAGCAAGACCTTGCCTTGCTTAGTTTGCGAGCCGCCTGCTGTTTCCGATGCTTCGTGTCCACCTGCAAAGACTCCATGGGTGAGCGGTGGCTGTCGCGCTTCTGATTTTTGGTTTGGCCTCTCTCTCTTTGTGGGTTTTCCGGATGCGAAAAGGGCTTGTTCAGTGCACGGCAAATCCGGGGCAAATCCGCCCTTCAAAACCGGGGCAAATCCGCGCACCTCCCCTCCTCACCCGTGGTGCAATCATCCCTAGCCCGGCTCGGTTCGCATTCGCCCGGCGCCACAAGAGTATCTCAAGAAATCGCCACGCCCCCGCGGTGCTTTACATCACACGCGCAAATTACGCTTCGGGGGGCGCCGTTCTTTTGACAAAAGTCGGTCCCCTTTGCCCCCGTTTTGTTGCGTTTCCACAACACCAAGGGAACGCCACATACAATGGTCTAATTTGGCCGGTTCCTCGCGTGGTTTCTGTGGCGTGGCCTATGCCGGATGTTGGGCAAGGGCCTCATCGTACCCCCAAGATATACTTTTGAATAATCGTTTATCTTCCCCACTTGGTCCAACAGAGGGGGGTTAAATAAATGCTTTTGAGCTGAGGCCAGTGCTGTGTAGAACTTCCGGTCTACTTCTCGAAGCTCCTTGATGCCAGGGCGGTTAAGGAACCACTGGGCTGTCTTCCGTGCCGACTCCAGCAAGATCCTGCACAGTGCCAAAATGCTTGACCCACCTGCCACGAATGCCGGCGAGGGACACTGTATGTTGCCCCTTTCTTGACTGCCGCATTTTTCGGGAGCCCGCTGAGATGCCTCAACCTCCCTGAAACGACTCCCGACTCGGTCCTGAATTGAAAGGTGGCCCAGTGCGCGAACCGATCCTCCGGCATACGGAGCACCGCGAAGACATCGAAGCAGTCCGTGGCGTCGCCTTGGGGGCGGGTCATCAGGAAGCCCTCCTGAGGCTTGCCCTCGGCCTCCCAGAAGATGCAAACGCTGTCGCCCTGCGTGGGGTAGTTCCGCCGCACCCTCTGGCGCCTTGGTTTTTCCACACGAAATGCCCCCCGAACGCTCGAGGCATCTCCCCCACCGCTTCTCACCCCTTACTCAAACATGGGGAGATGCCAAGCAAGAAGTACAAGGGGCCGGCGTGAACCGCCAAGCTGCAATGCCACCTGGGTGTGGGCGTCGTGGTAGAAGAAGCTCATGAAGTCCCCGACCATGCTGCCGAAGAGCACCGTGCAGAGGCGCATCAAGTTCCAAGAGGTCGAGCCCTGCACCACGGCCTCGCCCGGGGCGATGAACTCCTGCGAGTCGCACGACTCACGTCAGGAGTTTCCGAACGAAGCGATGCTCCACAAAAAGGCCCGGACCCGGCCTTGGAAACCCATGGCTGATCATGTTGCATGTGGCTTGTCACAAGCCGAAGCATTGCTTTACAGCCGGTCCTGCGGACTGACGCTGGTCCCGTTGATGGGGAACTTCTCGTTGAGCGACCACCTCACCTCTGGGCGGATAAGCAGATCGCCGGGTCTCTCCGGGGGATCGGACACGGTGATGCCTGCAAGGCCCCAATGGCACGCAGAAGCAAACAAGCACGTCCACTGCATGCCAACTCTTGCCAAGCGCAGCACGCCACAAGTTCAGCGAACCTGCCCCAACTAGGCTGTCTTCAGATCCCCTGCTGAAGGTGCACAACTCTTGGCGGGTTACATGGAAGTCCCCCCTCCAACTCAACTAAAAGGCGAAATAAGCTCGGGCGATATCCCCAACAGCACCACACCCTCCCAGAATCCTCGCGGAACGCCCCGGGACCATCCTCACCGCCGGTGTTGCTGAGGATGCCGCCTTGTAAAGCAAAGCTACGAGCTCGCCCTGATCGGGGCCCGACGGTGCAATCGGGGCCCGATCGGGGCCCGACGGTGCAATCGTCCCGTGGTGCAACCCCAGCCACCCATATTATAGCTCAACGCCGGTTTTCCTTAGCATGCGGATTGCAACTGTATCTATAGCAAAACTAGGCGACGCCAGCTTGGTACAATTGCCGGGGCCCGACTGAATCGGGCCCTGATCGGGGCCCGACGGCGCAATCGGGGCCCGACGGTGCAATCGGGGCCCGATCAGGGCCCGACGGTGCAATCGGGCCCCGATCGTCCCGTCCCCAGCCACCCATATTATGGCTCAACGCCGGTTTTCCTTAGTATGCGGATTGCAACTGTATCTATAGTAAAACTAAGCGATGCCAGCTTGGTACAATTGACGCGGGGCGCGATGGCGCAATCGGGCCGATCGGGCCCAAACGGTGCAATCGGGCGGTCCCCGACAGTGCAATCGGGCCCCAACCCAGGCCCGGTGAACCTCGCAAACGCAACTTTCGTGGAGCTCAGCGTGAAACTTTGCTGGAACCTTTCCTCAGGGCCGCCCCATAGCTTTTGCAGAATTTGGTGGAAACCTTCTGACCTCATGGCCCTCGCAGCCTCGTGGAATTCTTGGAACCCAAAGCCCACCAAGCAGCAATGCCATGCATTTATGAGTTCCGCAGCGACGTGATCTGATTTGCCACAAAGCCAACATTTGCCTGAGCAAGTGAGCAAGTCACAAAACAGTGAAAGTGTGCTAAACACCATTGATTTCGGTTTTGCTTAGTGTTCCGCCCATGAGCAAAGCGATATTGATCCGCACGACACACCCTTGGTGGAGCATTGTGGAGCCTTGTGGAACCCGTGTGGAACCCTTGCAGAGCTTTGTGGAACCCTGTGAAACCTCAGGGCCCACAGCCCTCGCAGAATCTTGTGGAACCCTGAAACCCTCATACAACCTTGCCTCAAACCACCCCGGACCACCCCGCAGCCCTCGCAGAACCTTGTGGGACCCTGCTAGAACCGTGCTGGAATGGAACCTTACCTTGCAAAACCTGGTGGAATTCTGTTGGAATTCTCATGGAATATTACCTCAAACCAGCCCGGACCGCTGGTACCCTGGTGAAACCCTGGTGGAACCCTCGTGGAACCTTCCCCGGACCACGCCGCACCCTCGAAGAAAGTGGTGGAACCCTGGTGGAACCCTCGTCCGGAGCACGACGGGCTGGTGGAATTCTGGTGGAAACCTGGTGGAACCCTCGTGGAACCTTACCTCAAACCACCGCAGCCCTCGCAGAACCTGGTCAAACCCTGGCAGAATTCTGGTGGAAATCTGGTGGAACCCTCGTGCCTCAAACCAGACCACCCCAGCCCTCAAAGAAATTGCTGGAACCCTGGTGGAACCCTCGTGGAACCTTGCCTCAAACCAGCCCAGACCACCCCGCCCTTGCAGAACCTGGTGGAACCCTGGTGGAACCCTGGTGGAACCTTACCTCAGGGTCGCCCCGAACCACCCCGGAGCCTATCTGGGCTGAGACCCCAAAGCTTTCAGCTGTTGGGGAAAAAAGAATGGTCCTGAGGACCCGGGAGCCGGGAGCCAAGCGCCCCGAGCCCCCCCCCCTCCGCTTTTTAGCCCGGAGCCTCGCAGGTGAAACTTGATGAGGTGCCCGCCCCGAGGGCAGCTGCGGTGCAGCAGGCTGGCGTGGGGCCGGGCCATCGCCTGCGCCCAGCCTTCGGAGGACAGCAACTCGGGCACGGCCTCGAACCACTCCTGCCGGATCAGGCTGCACATTGGGACCTTTAAGGACCAATGCAACAAGACAAGGCTTATGGCAACGGAAACTCATGCTGACAGGATTTCCTCCTCTCCCTGTCCCTTTCTCCCTCTCTTCGTCTCTCGTTTTTGTATTCTTTCGGGGTACTCTAGCCTGTCCGGTCCTGCCTGGACACTCCGCGTCATCTTCCTTCCCTTCAAAAGCCTCCTGCCTTCTTTGTGGCTCTCACTATTTTTGCCTCTCATCAACTGGAGCTTGCCTCACCTCTTCCTCTACATGGCTTCTGCAGTTGACTCAACTTTCAAATTTCCCTATATCTGAACTATTGAACTTGAGTCAAACTCCGGCTTCCCGCTCCAGTTGACGCAAGTTTCGGCTCGCAGGCTCAATCCTTGACACAATCACGTGACTACTGGCAGGACGAAGCAGGTTGATTTACCACGCACATGCCCTGTGGTGGTCCGAAGTACACCGAGTGGGAAAGTGCTAGTTGGCAAGTCACCGCCGCGCGAGGGCCGCTACTTTGGCGCTACTGATGCTGCGGAAGCGCATACGTTCCAGCGCTGCTGACGCCAAGGATGCTGAGCAGTTTGCAAAAAGTTTCTCTGCCGAGGCACTGGTGGGGGGCCTTCCGCTTTTTCCCGGTCCCAAGAGCTTTCGCCCATCATCCAGCCTCCGACCCGGAAATGCATTTCGAAGCGCCGGGCAGGATCAAGCAGATTCGCCTTGCAAGCGCCACCGAGCGACTGGGCTTCAGGCTTCACAAGCGCGCTGGTGATGCTCAGAATGTTGCGCAGATTGCGGAAGAGCCTTCTTCCAGCGCTCGCGATGCTGAGAGGCTGTTGGGCAAGTTGCTGACTTAAGAGATTTCCTTCTGACGCGTTGATGATGCTGGGGGCGCCTTCAAAACCTGGTCCGCGGAGCTCGCTATTGCGGTCTTTGGTCAAAACTCTCATCGACTGGGCTCATCCCTTTTTCCTCTTTGTTTCTCCTGTCGAAGCAAGTTTCAGCCTTCTTCTTGCCAGCGCCGGCGGTGCTCAGGTTGTTGAGCAATCCGCAGGAAAGCCTTATAAGTGGCGACGCTGGCGCGCCGTCACTGCCGGTAACGAAGCTCGTCTGAAGTTTGGCGGCATCAAGCACAGATTGATTCATCACGCGAACTCCTTCCGTGTTCCGAAGCACGCCATGCTGAGGATGTTGAGCAGGTTATCCGGCGAAAATTGTCTTTGGGGGGGGATATTCGTCCTTGCAGACGCTGAGCAGCCTCCCACATTTAACAGCGCCCCGCTGCCCTCAGCCCCCGAGGCGACACAGCTTCACAGAGCGCTTCCCACAGAGCCGCTGGAGGAATTTCTTCCAGCAACTCATAAGGCAAGACGGGTCTTCTTGAAGATCGCCTATCCAGCCTTCCACGCTTACGCCCCAACCCGGGCCCTCGAAACCTGAGCTTCACGAGGAGCTCAGGACGCATGGGCCCGGAGCCTCCGCGAGAAACCTGGCGCGTCGGTGGCCGGCAAAACGATTGATGCACTTGGCAATTGGCTCCGCACACCTGAAAACACGTGCAAATGATCCGGAGGTATCCGGGATTCTGAAGGCTCGCAATTCCTCCTATGCGAATGGCACAACGCCTTGATGCAACTTCTCGGCCACAATCCGCGGTACCTTCGTCAGGCGCTCCACTGCTCATACTGTATACATTAATATACATATTGTCTCTCTCCCTCTCTGCCAGCCGTCCTCCATGTTGTCTGCAAACGGCGCCATTGTGCGAGTGTACCACGTCGTGCTAGGGTGTTTTGCTGACAGCTGCGGAAGCAACGAGGGGCAAGCAGTAAGGAAAGCATACATAAAGCAAAGGCTGCAATGGTTGGACAGAATGAAAGGATCAAAGCTAAATAAAAATCGTTGATAACAAGCTGCCCTCGCTTTGAGCGGCCCGCAAGCCAAACTGGATCTTGGGAGATCCAGGAGACTATGATGACACCGAAGACCCGTTTGATGCCTTCGGGGCCTCTTTGGATTTGCGTTATCCGCCTGAGAAAGCCGGGTGGGGCGGAAACTGACTCTGAGTGGAAGCCGAATCACCAGTCGGGTGAGATCCAGCTTTGCTGGAAGACACTGCCTTGCGTATCGTGTTTTGCCCTCTGCCAAACCAACACTGCATCCTGAGGTGCAAAAATAGCTGCCTACTTCCATGGGGTCAATTTTTCCTAAGCCAAACAAAACGAACCACTTCCCCTTGGTCCCTACTTGCAACACGGGAACCAACGGTGATTTCCCCCAGTTTTTTACCCAACGCGTGCGAAACCCCTCCCCCCAAATTTTCCGGGCCCTTGGGTCTCGGGAGGCTGGGCCCCCCGTCCAGCGAGAGCATGCCGTCGCCGTCGAGGTCGGCCTACCGGAGCCGCCCGGAGCCCCAATCGTACCCCCAGTGAACATCCGACCCAATCCAACGACTAAAATAGGAAGCCTAAAATGGGCGGCGCTTTCTTTTTTCTACCCCAAAACATGGGACCCCATGGGTTTTGGCAACCACGGCCACACAAGCTTTTGCACCAACAGGATTGGAAGCCACGCAGTGGCAACCAAACACGTTTGGCCTTGAGTCAAAAAAACAAACAAACAAACAAACAAACAAACAAACAAACAAACAAACAAACAAACACCAGCTTTTCCATGAAAAGGCCAACCAACCAAACACCAGGCCATGAGTCATAACACGCCTTGTATCGTTCGTGGCCCACCAACACCCATGAAAAGAACTGAAAGGCCAAACCTCATGGTTGCGAAAGCGGGTGCGCCCCTGGACGATAATTACCCCATCCCCTTGGCTTGAAAGAAAAAACATCAAAACCGGACCCCAGTTTGCTTTTCCAAGGGGCCACGCGTCAAATGGCTGGTCTTCCTTTGGGATGCCCCTCAATACCCCGCCAAAAAAGCAGGCCCCATTATTTTAGCTTTGCCCGAGTCACCCCCTAAGTTGCAGGTTGAAATTCTGACTTTGACAGCCCCAAGAAACATTCTTTTTTGACCCCCCAAAAAAAATGGCATCAGAAAAAAGGAGCCAAAAAAAAAGCGATTCCCCGCGCGGTCCCACTCCCACCGAACCCCCCCCCGCCCCCCTCCTCTCGCCTGCACCGCGGCGCGGGTGCGCCGCAAACGGCCCTCGGTGCCCAGCAGGTTGCTGGGCCGCACGATGTCGTCGATCTGGAAGTCCAACATCTGGCGACGCCGCGAAGTCCGCGGCTTTTCGTCGCGGAAACGGATCGAAATGAAACACAACCGCCATAAACGATGGTTTGTTTAGGGAGACCTAAAGCAAAAAATTGGGCATGTTGGGGGGTCCCCAAAATTAAACCAGGATATGGACCGCAGGTTGAAGAGTCCGTCCTTGTTTCCACTTACCAGGGTTCTCTTTTGGGTGCCTATTTTTGCCCCACACCCTTTTCGATTGGAAAGGGGAAGCAAAAGGAGACCAACAATTGGAGGCGCCCGCGAGTCTTTCGGACCAATCCCATGTTTTGGCTCCCTTCCAGGCACCAGCTCATTCCCTCGCTTGCAATGCTTGCAAGGGGGACGAGGAGACCAAGGTGCCCACAATTGTTCGGGACAGAACCAAAAGGAGACCAAGGTGCCTGTGAGTCTTCAGACCAATCCCATGTGAACCACCAAAAACATCGAGTTTGTACCAGCACGCGCGCAGAAACCGCCCGCGCCCCGCGAGCTTTTTGCTGCCATAGAAGCTGACGCCTTCACGCAGCGGCATAACATGCAGCCCGTCTTGAGACGGGCGGGATCCAACCCACGGGCCATGCAAAAAGACTTCCTCGTAGCAAGCCCTTCCCGGTGGGAAGCGAAAATAGTCCTCTGGCAAACTGTAAGCATCCTTCAACATTTTCTTCTGCCAAGCTATGCTTTAATCTGTTGAAACAGCTTCCTCTGGGATGCAAACAGAACACCATCTCGCGTTCAGAGCCGCCGCTGGTTGAAACCGTCCTGACATCTCAAGGGAAACCAACTTCGAACTGCTGCAAAAAAGGGTCCTCAATGGCGAAGGGAATGGAGATGAAGCAAAACATCGAGCAAATTCCAAAGATCACGAAGAGCGACCACCTAGGCCGTGATTGCAATGCAGGAGGCTATGCAAAAGTCAGTCTAAGGTCCGCGCTTTGTGAATGAACCAAGCTTGTGACCTTCGGGAAGAGTGTACGCCGCGAGATACCTGCGACCAAAGTGCATACAATCAAAACCGGGTACGACGAAGGTCAGACAGCCCCAAGCATATATCCATTGACGTCAGTCGAGCCTGTAGTAGCTATGTTGGGTCTGTGTCACAATCCTTGTCAAAGCCGCAGGGTTTGAGGGCCTGCATTTTGGCCTGCATTCTTCCCAGTGGTGTCGTGAGTGAAGAACTTGCCTGGGTCCTGGAAAATACTCAGTTTTGCCCCAGCATCTGCAACATCCCCAGCATCCCTAGCCTTGGTATCAGGTGTTGCTGGTGGTCTTGATGTTGGCTTGGTCTAAGGAAGCTTACAAGGCACTTCCACAGTTCTGGCGCTAAGTGAAGAGAAAAGAAGAGAAGGCTAGCTGTCGTTTGAAAGTAGATGAGAGCGGAGAAGAGAAGAGAAAAGAAGAGAAGGCTAGCTGCCGGTGGAAAGTATGAGAGAGGAAGGAGAAAAGAAGAGAAAAGAAGAGAAGGCTAGCTGCCGGTTGTAAGTAGATGAGAGCGGAAGGAGAAGAGAAAATAAAAGAAGAAAGGCTAGCTGTCGTTTGGAAGTATATGAGAGCGGAGAGAAGAGAAAAGAAGACAAGAGACGAGAAGAGAAGACCTTGTGCGCGTTTCGCGTGACACTTGGAAGCGCAAACCACAGGTACCGATTTTGAAAGCACTTTCGCAAGGTCAGGTATTGGCAGGCGCACTTTCGCAAGATACCCTGACAAACGCAGCACTTTCGCAAGGTCAGGTACGGATTTCTGGCAGGCGCAGCGCTTTCGGAAGATAGATAAATAGATAAACGGATAGATGGCTAGATAGCTGCATAGCTAGATTAGATTGATAGAAACATAGATAGAAAGATAGATTGAAACAGATTAGATGAGGCAGAGAGAGAGAGAGAGAGTGATAGAAAGTGATATTAGACAGAGAGAGAAAGTGATATTAGAAAGATTGGATAGCTGGCTAAATAGATAGATAAGGGAAACGCAGACCACCTCTGGCGCGATAGCTGGACAAAAAAAGCTGGCCGGACAGATAGATAGCCTAAAAGATAGACAGCTGGACAGATAGCTAGCTTGACATGTAGATAGCTTGACAAACAGACAGCCCAACAAATAGATAGCTTGACATGGCTAGCTTAACAGAAAGAAAACTGACAAATAAGTGGCGTAACAAATAGATAGCTGGACAGATATAGACAGCTTGAAAACTTGAAAAGGGTAGCTTGCAAGAAAGAAAACTTGACAGATACGTGGCCTACCAAATAGATAGCTGGACAAACAGGCAGCTTCAGGCGGGGGCCGCGTCAGGTAGCTAGCTTGACAAATAGATAGCTCAACGAATAGTCAGCTTGAGATTGTTCGCCTGGCAGATAGCTCGACAAATAGTCAAGTGTAAATGCAACAAGCGCAAGTGACACAATCTGACAACAAGGCCTGCCGGGTTACTGATCAAACAATCTGAGGCATTATCTGGCACTTGTGGCTCGCACACTGGCACAGAGTATCAGCTGGTGTAGATAGCTTAGTTGGCAAACCCCGTCCTTTCCATTTGGTCAAGGGTCAAAATCCCGTACCCCCAGTGAACATCCCAATCTCCATTAAAATAGACTAAAATGGGTGGTGCACCTACCCCAAAATGGGATCCCATTGGTTTTGACCCAGCTTTGATCGAGTGAAGCCAATCCCGGCCAGCCGAGCTGCCACAGCGAAAAGATGGTCGGTGGCATTAGCAGCCCGTTGATGAACTGTGTCCAAACCTCGAGCAGAGCTACTTTGCAGCAAGAATCCAAGCGTCGTTCATTCGAAAGACGGCAAACAAAAAAAAGAATCCACGAGTCGACAATTTTGAAAGACGGCCAAAAATCGTGAAAAATGCCTGGCTGAAAAAGATCCTGACTCCAACAGGTTCTCAAACAGCGCCCAGAGACGGGCGGGCGCTTCACCCGCATCGACCATGGACCTATCCACCTGGGGCGCGCACACCTGTCAGCGCCACCGCGAAGGTGGGGGTGAAGATCGTGAGGGCCCAGGCCACCAAGCAGGTGAGGAAAAACCTACAGCCCGTTTCGGGAAAAGGAAAAACGATCCGAAAGGGAAAATCCATATATGACTTCAGTACCTCCAAAAGCTTGGTGAAGACTCAGTGAGGAAACACCTACCGCGCGTTTCGCAAAAGAAGATCCACTGGATCGCCAGTTGCGATCGTTTTTTTCCCCCATGAGCTTTACCCCAAAAACCAGCAACAGTTACTGAAAAAAGCAGCAGCAACTTGGCTATCTAGGCCGTGGGTAAAGGGAAAATCAATATATGACTTCAGCGAGGAAAAGAACTTCGGCCGGTTGGCAAAACGGAAAATCGATGTTTCTGAGAAACACCCTCCAAAAGCTTGGTGAACCTCTTTTGAGGCGCGAAACGTTGCCTCCCCCCTTTTCGCTGGTTTTTCCGTGGACGGATCTGGGTGCGACCCTATCCATGGTCGACACCCGAAAGGGGTCGAGCGCGTCGGCCCGGATCTGAGCAGCCGGCGAAGCATAGAAAATCGGCCTCAGGCTGGGGGAATTGGACCAACGAAACCGTGGGTCACTTGAGTCACAATCAACACCCGGGAATTTATTGGAATTGTCGACCCAGGACCATGCTACCCTCCAAGTACCCGGGTGAGTGCGACTCACTGCGGCCCCCCTGACCAAGCAAAAAGAGTACCCGGATCGCCAGCTGCTGCGTTGTCCCAGCCACGAGAAACCCATTATGCATTTTTGAGTAAAGTGGCTGGAAAAAGCGATCGCAACTGGGCGATCCAGGTGCCCGCTCGCAAAAAAAGGCGCGCCTCTCTTGCACGTTGCGCGAAACCCGCTGCAGCATGCCTCTACAATCTCGCGGTCCCTCTCCCGCAGGCAAGCCTCAATCTTGCAGTCTGTCTTCCAAGGTCAAAGGCAAACCGCACAGCAGTACCAGAGGATGCATCTCTTGAGTGTACCACGTTTATGGGGCCGCTTGAAATGGAGAAAATGGCCCATTTCGGGGGAGACCCCCCTTGTTTTTGAGACGACCCCGCCCTTCTATCCCCCAAACCGGTCTAAGTCCCAAGACCAAAACCCGGAGCCGTGGGGGTCCCTTCGGCTTGCCAGCGCCCCCTTCCATCCCATCCATCCGCCGGCGCACTGGAGCGGCCAAGCACCTCCTCTAGCGCCCAAGACCCGCAGAGCGACACCACCTCGGCGAGCTCTGGATCGGCAGGGAAGGAGCTGGAAGGAACCGCCAATGAGCCCATCCCCTATGGTGTCCTTTGAGTTCATTCCAACTGGAAGGTCATTCCCGAATCGCACCAGCAAGTTATTTGGAGAGCCCCGTTAAAGAACAGAAGGAAGCTGGAAGCGCCGGCCTCGAACCAAACTACCTGCTCTTGCACGAAAAATGACATGTTCTCATTCTGCATCGTAGGCCGAACCTCATTAACCAACTAAGGGTTTCCCGAAGCCTGCGCATAAATGACGGGATCCTTGCGCAAGCAAGGCAACTTCCTGCTGTAGCCACGGTCAAAATATGGAGTTCCCACCCATGAAGCAAAGGAGAAACCCCGGGTTTTTTCCCGGGTTTTGCGGTTGACATTTCGTGAGTTTCGCCGGTCGCCGTGTCCCTCAATGAGCAAGACGATCTCACTTTACTTAATACACAAACAACCAATCGAGCAAGAACACAGATCATGAAAGTGAAAGAGAAAAGACAACGAGCAGAGAGTATGTACAAGAGGCTTGCAACAAATCAATGAACTAGCATCATGTTCCCAACAGCATTCCAGAACCAAACCGCTTTCCACAAATCCTGGAAGTGGACAGAAGGGTCCGGAGAGCGACCATCAACTTCAAGAACACAGTTGAGAGAACACCCTGGATCGCCAGTTGCTGCTTTTTTCCATGCACTTTACCCCAAAAACCAGCAGCAGTGACTGAAAAAAGCAGCAACTTGGCTATCTAAAACCATTCTGCAAAAGGCCCCCTTTGATA